ACCAGCCACTGCTTTCACTGCCTTCACCAAACCTAATAACCGTGCTCCACCAAAACAGAACACCCAAGGCCTGCTTCCCACTCCTACCTCCCACACTCCCAAAACTCCTCGGCCCTTCTTTGGCAAGTGCCAATGGTGTCGTGAACAAGGTCACGTTGTGGCCCATTGTTCCCTATTCACCAAGCAATTCCCTACTGCCTCTCCTCCTCACCCACGCAACAATATTTTTTCCCAAAACCGCTCCTCCTTCAAACCGCAAACACCTCAACAATATCTTCTGTCTCTCCTCTCCCTAATCAATGGTTACTGGACAGTGGGGCTTCTCACCACGTTACAAATGATTTAAACAACGTTGCTCTTCATGCTCCCTATGATGGAACCGAAGAATTAATAGTTGGTGATGGTAAGGGTCTATCCATAACTCACATTGGTTCTTGCTCCCTCTCTTCTCTCAAGCTTAATAATGTCGTAGTAGTTCCTTCTATTGCTAAAAATATCATCTCTCTCTCACAACTTTGTCTTGATAATCATATCTCTATATCCTTTTCGACTAACTCTTTTTTTTTATTGAACAACGCTGAAAGTGTTATTTCAAGGGAAAACTAATCGTGGCGTTTATGAGCTTCCTTCTATCTCTCCGTCAGTCTACACAAGCATAACCTCTTCCATTGCTTGGCATCATCGTCTAAGTCATCCATCTAGGAATATTTTTAAGCTTCTTATTTCAGAAAATAAATTAAATGTATCAAGTCTTTCCATCTTAGATTGTAATTCATGTGCTTGTACTAAAAGCCACAAACTTCCTTTTTCTATTTCTTCTATTACTTCTACTGCTCCACTAGAATATGTTTATTTGAACTTGTGGACATCACCTGTTTACTCTCATGACAACTTCAAATATTATCTTATTTTTGTTGATCACTACTCCAAATATATTTAGCTATGTAACCTAAAACAAAAATCAGATACCAAAGCTGTTTTCCTTCGATATAAAGCACTCGTTGAAAAGTATTATCAACTTCCTCTTAAGACCCTTTATTCTGATAATGGTGGTGAGTACCTTACTCTCCGTGATCTTCTCACCATTGACGATGTTTCTTACCTCACTACTTCACCGCATACTCCCGAGCATAATGGTTTCTCTGAACGCCGCCATCGTTACATAGTTGAAACTTTTCTTTCCCTTCTCTCCCACGCCCACATGCCACTTGAATTACATGTTTTGTGTGCGTGCATCGCTAGCAGCACCATCGCAGCACCATGACTGTGCGTGTATACGTGCATCGCTAGCACAACACCATCGCAGCACTATGGTTGTGCGTGTGTGCGTGCATCGCTAGCAGCACCATCGCAGCACCATGCGCGTGCGTGTGTGCGTGCATCGTTAGCCAAGCAGCACCAGCCGTAGCAACGTGCTGTGCGTGCTGCTAGCATAGCAGCACGCTGTGCGCGCTTGCAGCATATGCGTGTGTGTGCCTTCGCATGGCAACACCAAGCACAACGCCTAGGCCTCGCCTAGCAGCAGCATCATGCGTGGCTCGCTAGCAGCACGCATGCGCTAACTGGGCTGTGCGTGCTAGCTGTGCTAGCTAGCTGGCATGGATCGCTGCCCAGCCTTGGTGCCAGGCGCCAGCTGGCAGCCTTGGCAGCCAAGGCAAGCTGCCTGGTTGGCCATGCCTTGAGGCCGGTTTTGCGGAATGGGGACCAAAGTTTGGAGGCTTCCCTTGGGGAGCAAGGCAATGGTCCCCCCCCTTGGTTATGGTCCTCACCTAACCTCTCCTCTCCTCATTCCACTTGTTGATTGCATTGTTTTATAATTTATTTTTGATTTAAATAAATTAGTAGAAAATGCACAAGATCCCACATTGATCATGAATGGGGATGCAAGTTGCTATTCTCTATAAATACCCCATGATTGGGCATTTGGAGAACAACTTGAGTGGAACTAAAAAAGGCATCTATTATTATTGAGAAAACCTTTATGTTCGTAAAACTCTAGTTTTATATTTGGTCAAGTCTCGACTAACCCTCGAGACGAAGATCGTTCGGGTCGGATCATGGGTAAGAGCCATTGGAGGCCGTCACGCTTGTGAGGCTTTAAGCTTCGAAGTAAGAGCTCGGTTTACAAGTGAAGCACGCTTCAAGGGTATTACTTCTTTCTCCCTTTTCTTAATTATTGATTAATTATGTTTATGCATGCTTTATTGCTTTAATTATTGGGGCGGGTCTTGGGCGGGTTTCTCTTTCGCGTAGTGTTGGACCCTACGAAACCTAACAACTACCTATACCCCTTCCTCACCTCTCGGCTCCTCTTCTTCACCATCACCCTCTTCGTCCTCTTCTCCTACACCACTATGTCCTTCCTCGGTTCACAGTCCCTCTTCCCCCACAACTACAAACTCTTCCCCAGAAACCAACACTTCTTCTTCATCTCCTTCTCACCAACCTCTGTCACACTCCTCTCAAATGGTTACCCAGCTTCAGCACGGTATCCAAAAACCCATCAATAAACTCAACCTTCACGCTGAAATCCAAGAAACCTCCCTTCCTGAAAGGAATGGTGTCCTTCCAACAAGTGTATTCTTCCGATAGAGGGTTCAGAATTATTACAGAGCTAATTCTTCAGTAAGGTCAAGTGATCGGAATTCCTAGGTGGAGGCCGCTTCCGATCAGTAATATCAATGTACAATTGATGTTACAACTTAATCTTAACTGAACCCTTCGGTTCGAACCCAATCGAATCACCGATCCGAGACGACGAATTAATCCCAAAGGATTTAACGAGTCAGCAGAGTTTTACAAATACAGACGTCGGATATCGAGCCTAGGGCGTCGAGACCGAGCGTCGCAAAATCACAAAGCGACAAGTATGAACATAACCTTAGCACCACACTAGACTGGCCATGTGGATGCTAGGCTAGTTCGAGTTAGCATGCACCTAGCATGGCTAGGCGCAAGCCTTAGCACACTAGGTGCACTAGGCGCACTATCGCAGCCCTAGCATCATGCCTAGGCACCATCGCTGCCATCGCAGGCACTAGGCGCACCTTGGGCACCATCGCAGCCCATCGCAAGTGCTATGCGCACCATAGCAACCCATCGCACCATCGCAACAAAAGCACAACACTATCGCATGGCTAGGCCAGTGCGTGTGTGCGTGTGCTTGTACCTTAGCCCATCGCATCATCGCAGCAAGCATGCCTGCGCACATGTGTGCCTTCGAATGGAACTGCATCGAAGCATGCGTGATTGGGTGCTAGACACCATCGCAGGCACCTCGCACAAGCACAGCACCATGGTAAGCCTTGTGTGTGTGTGCATGTGCGTGGAGGGCATCGCAGCAGCAGCAGCATGCGAGTGTATGCGAGGCTGGTGCGCATGAGCATTCGTGGCTTGCTAGCAGCACGCATGCTGGCTATGTTAGCATGTGCGATGGCGAGGGCTGATGCGTGCCAGGAGCCAGCACTAGTGCCTAGCTAGCAAGCAGCATCGCATGGCCAGCTAGCGAGCAGCAGCGCTGGGCGTGCTGTGCATGCGAGGGAGCTGCTAGGCAGGATGGTGCTAGCTGGCTGGGCTAGCTGGCGCTGCTAGCTGGCACTGCTAGCTGGCCTGCTGGTTGGCAGCATCCCAGCAGGCCTTGCTAGAGCCGGTTTTGCAAGTGGGGACCATTGCTTGGAGCAATGGCTTGAGGATCAAGGCAATGGTCCCCCTAAGCCTTTGGTCCTCACTTGGCTTTCTCTATTATTATGCCATGTGTCGTTTTGTGATTGAATTGATTAATCATTTAATTTTGGAATTAAATAATTATCATTTCACCAACTCTCCCACATTGATGGGAGATTGGAAACCAAGGATTCATTTCCTTATAAATACCCTTCAAGGGTGTTGGGAAACGAACAACCTTGAGTGGAATTAAAAAGGCAACTCTAATTAAGAGTAAACCTTTGATTCGTAAAACTCATAGTTATTTTGTCCGAGTCTTGACTAACCTTCAAGACTTAGGACGCTCGGGTCGGGTCGAGGGTACGATCCGTCGGAGATCTCGTGTTTTCGGGATTTTGAAGTAAGAGCTCTTTGGGAGCGAAGCACGCGACAAAGGTATAATTCTTGTTCTTAATCTTGTTTGATTAAGTTTAATATGCTTGCTAATTGTTTTAATTAATGGGCGGGTCTTGGTGGGTTTCCTTCCGCGTAGTGTCGGGTCACTACGAAACCCTACACTTCCAAAGAATATCACTCAAGCCATAAAGTTCAGAGCTCAGTGTGGCGAAAATCCATGGAAAACGAAATTCAAGCTCTATTGAAAAACAATACGTGGTCTCTTGTCCCCTCCTCTCCTTCCCAAAACATAGTAGGATGTAAGTGTGTTTTCGCATCAAACATGACAAAAATGGTGCAATCATCCAACACAAAGCTCGCTTCGTGGCTCGTGGCTTCACACAACGTGTTGGCATAGATTACGGGGAAACCTTCAGCCCCGTAATCAAGCCTACCCCGGTTCGCCTCGTCCTATCTCTTGCAGTCTCTCATGGTTGGCCCTTGCGTCAACTGGACATAAACAATGCCTTCCTTCAAGGCACTCTTACTGATGATGTCTATACCGTCCAACCTCCTGGCTTTGTTGATCCTAAATTTCCCACACATGTTTGCAAGCTAAACAAAGCCCTATACGTTTAAAACAAGCTCCTCGAGCTTGGTACACCGAACTCCGTCACTATCTACTTCAAATAGGCTTCCGTAATGTTGTCTCTGACTCATCTCTATTTACACTCTTTGTTAATAATGTCACTGTGTACCTCCTCGTGTACGTTGATGACATAATTCTCACGTGCAATGACCCCAAGTTCCTTGAATCCTTCATTACCACCTTATCATCTCGTTTCTCCTTAAAGGAACTTGGAGCCTTGTCATACTTTATGGGAGTTGAAGTCATGCCTCACCATCAAGGTCTCTTATTAAGTCAAACCCGCTACATCAATGACATTCTAGCCAAAGCAAATATGGAACACTCCAAATCAACCTCTACCCCTCTAGCTGTTCACCCACCATTAACAGCTGCCGAAAAACCACTGCCTGACCCATCGCAATACCGTGCGTTAGTTGGCAGCCTACAATATCTTAGCCTCACCCATCCCAACGTTTCCTTCTCAGTAAATAAGCTAGCCCAATACATGCACTGCCCTACTGATTTTCACATGCAATCTCTCTATCGCCTTCTACGTTACCTAAATGGCACTTCTAACATGGGACTTATCATTCACAAAAACTCTCCACTTTCGCTTCATGCATACTCGGATGTTGACTGGGCCAGAGATACAGATGATTTTATCTCTACAACAGCCTATATAGTCTACCTTGGTAAATATCCCATATCATGGTCATCAAGAAAACAGAAAACACATGCAAAGTCCTCCACAGAGGCTAAATACAGAGCAGTTGCTGCTGCCTCTGCTGAACTTCTTTGGGTTCAAAATTTACTCCATGAGCTTTGACATCCTCTGCCTTCCACTCCAGTTATATATTGTGACAATGCCGGAGCTACATACGTCAGTGCAAATCCTGTCTTTCACTCTCGCATGAAACATCTTGCCTTAGATTATCACTTCGTTCGAGAGAATGTTCAAGCAGGCAAGTTACGAGTGGCTTACATATCTACAATTGATCAACTGGCAGATGCTCTAACTAAGCCACTACCGAAGCTGACATTCACTAGCTTAATCAACAAAATCGGGATATCCTCACTACAACCCGTTTTGAGGGGGCGTGTTAAGGAATGACGCTCAACTAATTCCCTTAGTCTTAGGAGTTTAATTATTCAAAGTTGTTTCTTGGGATAATTATTCCAAGTCCTGCACTTATCTTTATTCTCTTGTACATCTATATATACCTCTGTATAATACTCTTGTAAATCAATGAACAAAATACAATAAAATACTCTTATCTTATGGTATATCCCATATGTTTCTCTCTACCTCCATTGTCTCCACATGAAATGATTATAGACGCGACATCTTTTAGCCGCTGCTTGCCCACCACTTGATGAACCTCCTTTTCCCTGTAAATTAAAGGCCATATATATATATATATATATATATATATATATATATATATATATATATATATATAAACATATACATTAATTAGTACGACTATAATTTTATATACGTGCAGTTCTTAATAATATATCATAGACATATGATTTCAAAGCTAGGATTTTATTATACATCTTAATCCAACACTCCTTAATTCCCATCAATTACCACATTTATTTTTACTTCTTTGTCGCGTAACAGGTACGTACGTGTATAAATTTTTAATCTGTAATAAATGTAAACATATACTAGAAGATCACATAAAATAAATTTTACATGATATTAGTACACTATGTAATTAGTTGTTTAGCTAGTCCTCTGTTATAATTAATCAAAAATTAGATATTGATCATCTGTTCTTACGCCTAATATTATAAAATAAGGATGGCTATACAATTATACATCAATATGTATTTATAATATATAGGAAAAATGGTAAATAATAATCCCAACTTTGCTATATTTTCTTTTAATAATCCTAATTTTGGATTATTGTGGAATAATCCGAACTTTAGGGGTCGTTTACTCTCTTCAATCCCAAACCAGTTAACAAAAGCTAATGACCTATTTTATCAGGTCACTTGGCAAAGGTCAAGTTCTGATTGGTCCAAGAAATTAAAAAAACAAAAAAAAAAAAAAACCAAAATCACAAAACCACCAGTCAGCCTCCTCCTGCCCTACCAACCCACCCTAACCTCCACCCCACTGCCCAGCCTGTCGCCCCTTTCTCATCGGCCCGTCGCGCCTCCCCCACCCTCTAGCGTCGTCGTTTTCCTCCCTCCCCCAAAACACCATCCCATTCCCCCACGAAACCACCAATGAAACCCCAACCTCCCACTACTTAAAACCCCAAATTGCTCCTCCCTCCCACCCCAAAACCTTAGCGGCTATGGTTTTCAGTGGTGGAGGAGGGGCGGTTAAGTGTTTTCGGGAGTAGAGGAGGGGTTTTAAGGGAGTTTCGTGAGCAGATTGTAGGTTGGGGCTTTTAACAATGGAGGAGAACCGGGTTAGGGAAGGAGGGAAGTGGGGGGTTGGGTTGCAGTACCAGCGTGGGGGAGGGGAGATATAGGCACAACACCGTGAGAATGGGGCCGGCCGGCCGGCATAAAGGTGGCCGAATCATTTGAGGAGAGAGAAGAGAGAAAATAAAAAGGGGTTTCATGGTTGGGGGCAATTAAGAGGAGAGAGAAAATGAAAGGGGATTTCGTGGCTGGCGGCAATTGGCCAGCAGGAGGAAGGAAAGTCGATGCAATTTGGGCGGCCGACCAGCATCAAGGTTTTTGGCTGGGTGTTATTTTTTTAATGTTTTTTTTTTATTTTAATTTTTTTAACTAATTAACTTATGATACATGTCACTTTAAAAAATAAAAGAAATTAACACATTCAACCGGTCAATGGTAATTGGAATTGAAGAAAGTAAATAGCCCCCAAAATTTGGATTATTTCAGAGTAATCGAAACTTGGGATTATTAAAAAAAAAAATACAACAAAGTTGGGATTATTATTTGCAATTTTTCCTAATATATAAAGGAGCGTATACCTTATTATCTTTCCCATCAGTGTTCCTGTAGTGAACTATTGCCGTCTTCTAAGATCGGAAAAACAATCCATCTGGGCTTCTGTACGTCTGCATCACATTACAAATTTACAAGTTAGTTAATTATTACACAATACTAAAATAATTACTAAAATGGATTTAATTTATGTTTTATTAGTTTTTTGTATAAACCTTGTCAACAACTCCCTTAGTCTATCAACTTTTCCACGTTGTTCGCGTGACAACCCAGGTTTCCGGCAAATAAGTGGGCTGCTTTGTGCAGCCACGACGACAAGGAGGCACATCAATTGGGGCCGCAATAAGAGGGGCATCTTGGAGAGGATCATGTTGAATAGGATTTGCTAGGCAAAGCTTTGTAGTAGGCTCATCTACCAAGGTTGCTTCTTCTCTGAGTTGCAAGCACAAATTTGCATAAGGATTATTATGATGATTTGGTTGATAAGCTGGTGCAACAGCATGGGCTGAAATCATGTTTGCAAAATGTAACAGTCGCATTCATTTGAGAGGGTGCAACAACCTGATATGATGAGATGGGGTTTGAAATTGGTTGCGGCTGGGATGATGGTTGAGTTCGAACCTCTTTGCATCATGGTTTTGCGCTTGATACTATTAAAAGTTTTAAAATTGAAAAAAGAATCAATTTCAAATGCTTCGTTTCTCGTTGAAGCACCAGGATTTGCAGCATAAAAAGCAAGTTGAATATCTCGTGCCAAATTAACGATAAAGTCGTCGTTTAAAATTATATCTGGATCATCAATAGTAAATGGTTCAAAATCAGACATGTTTTCATGTTCACTAAAAATGAACTTTTACCATTATTATTATCTCAAAAATAGACAAAGTCATACAACCTACAATAAATTAGTGGGAAGCCGAGATACAAGCTGGGCCCCTACTCCTCTAGCTATAGAAAAGCCTACCCTAGCGAAGATATGAGCTGCCACACAAGCCCCAATGTCTTGCGTCGTCGAGAATCTCTAAACCCGCTTCAGCAACGCAACATCCTCTTTCTCTAATTCCCCAAGCGAAGAAAAGGAGAAGGGAATGAAACCATATCCAATGAGCCGACACCTAGCTTCATACTTCACCCGCTTCCGATGAGCCGCATCGGCCACAACCTGTCCAGGAACAAAGTCAGATAGCCCTGTCTGTGTCAAAGGAGAAGACCCTGTTAAGTCCACACAAACATCACGACCACGATCCCATGAATAAAGTAACACATCAGCAGGTCTGAGTGCCCCATCATTCCGTCTAGACAACCCAATGTCAACCTCCTTTCTTGCTGAAATCCCAGATCTGTAGCAAATATCAACAAGAGTATCCCGGACAACATTATGCCGATGTTTAATACCCACAATACCAGCACACGACATCGCGTGATCACCAAAAATATCCGTAGTAAAAACCTGAGAACAAGCAGAGCCCGGCGTCGAGATAGAGAACAATGGAACACCCATCCTGTAGCACAACACACATCGGTAGGTCTTTGCATGTCTAACCCAACCCTGAAATAGGAACTGCCCAAAGCCAAGCAGAGGTGTGATCTCCCTGCTGCGATTTCCACAATGCTGATTGCCGAGGAGACAAAGAAAAAGCGGATTCTGCAGAAACGGTAACTTTTGTGAAATATATATCTGCCAATTTCTTCATGAGTTTAGGGGCAGCAATCTCACTAGGATTACTCATAATGTCAGACTCCACTATTCCATTAAACAGACTCAACTCATCTCTAAAGGCTCGTCCTAGACCAACAATGCCAGCATGTCGTAAAAGCTGTGTCTGCAACCCTGTTGATTGTAACCGAGAAGCAAGAAAAGCGTAATGACGAACATCACCTGCGGAATATACCCCAAACCCTCCAAACGCAAACGGTATGGTGGCAAGACGCCATTGCCAATCACCAAACCCAGGCCCCGAAGCAGTAACAATACGCTCCAAGGAAGATCGAAGAGCCCCGTCGAATGTGCGCTGAGCCGTCTCGAAAGCACTAGGAGGACAAGTACGTAATGCAAAGTAGAGTTTAGAAACTCCGGTACAGGCCCTAAGTAACAATAACTCACACTGAGGATCATCAAGCATAGCAACCTTATCCATAAGCGCAATGGTCTTGGTCACCCTCTGCATCATAAGCTCACCACTAAAACCGGAATCGGAACTAGCAGGACCACCAAGCAGCTTAACACCACGCAAAGGTCGAGCAATATTATGCGGAAAAACACCCACAAGCTTGCTTCGAGGGTCTTCTGTAGGCCAGAAAACTTTAGTTTTTTCCACATTATAACCCAAAACGAGGTCCTTCCTCCATAATCAACTGCAAAACCTTCCCCACCACCAAAGTGTCACCAATAACAGTGCCGTCATCCAAATACCACGCTTGAAGACATAAGTCAAAAGCATCTCTGATTTTACAAACCAGGGGCTGTAAAACCAAAGAAAAAAGTAGAGGACCAAGGGGATCACCTTGCTGCACTCCTTGTCACGACCATAAGGATTGTTCCCCATAATACAATCTGGCTGGATTAGAATAGTAGAATTCAACCCAACGCGAAATGCCTGGACAATGACGACGAACTTCACGCAGCATAACCGTACGATCAACAAGATTGAAGGCATTTTTAAAATCCACCAACAACATAGAAAGACCCACATCAGAGCCACGATCCTCAATCAACCGATTCACAGCATGAAAAATTGCCTCACCACCCGAAGAAACCCCAACGCCAAATTGAAGACCATCAAAGTAACTTCCTAAAGACTGGCCAACCATAACAACACCCATCTTTGAAACCAGACGCCGCCAAATAGTACCCACAGCTATAGGACGAATACCTTCACCAGGCTT